GCAGGGTGCTAGCTGCACTCGAGCTAGTTTTTCAGGTTCTGCCCTAAGAAATCATCTAGACCTTCCCAAATACTAACAGCTTTCAAGCTTTACATTTTAAAACAACATAATTTTTTGAAAAGCTACACTAGTTTTTGCTTTTTCCTTTGGTATCCGTGAATCCAAATTCAGAAAAACACACACATATTCAAACATATTTTTGCAAGTGCCTGATGAACTATTAATCACAGTGGGGGTGAAATGTCAGAGAAAATTCCATTGGGTCCATCACATTTTTTTCAATCACTGAACATAAGATCTCGCTGAATGTCCTATGCAAAACAAGATAGAAGCTCTCTCTCAACAAAAAGGGACGCCACATATAATTTCTGACACCCTCATAGGAAATCACTGAAGACACTGTGATATGCTCTCAAGTACACAATATAAAATAGCAGTAGAGTGACACATCATACTGACACGTAATCATAGCACATAGATGGATATTTCTTTGTCATTCAAACTCCTTTCCATTCCCTGCTTTCTCTGAGTCTGGGGTCTGAAGCAAGACAAATTAGCTATAACCTAGCTTGGATTATATTAGTGATGCTTTTTGGCACATAAAAGCACTTAGAATATTAAAGCAGGGAGACAGGGTGATCATATCAATGAGGACCTGACTGACACTTTGAAGGATACACAATCTTTGAATCTATTCTTGACTGTGAAGTTCATGATGTAGTTTTTGTCCTTTAATTTTTACTTTTTTTTTTTTTTTTTTTTTGCCATGTACAAGTTAACAAATGAGCAGGGCTATAGTTTCCAATGCAAATCTTTCATCCATATTTCTGCTACTTCCAGGCAAGGTTATTGGGATATACATGATCCTTAAGAAGAGCATTCCAGCATTGAAGAAAAAAAAACAAAACAAAATTGAAACTAAACTGAAAAGATGCAACTTAAGAATGACAACAAAGAGAAATGTTGTGCTGTGAATTCACTGACTCCAGAGTTAAGGCTGTCTTCCCTTTTACACTTCAGGTAGGGATACAGCCTGTTTCCAATGACATGCTAATCTTTCCACCCACTGAGTACTTGGCAGAATAATAATCTGTGATTTCTTTTATTTCTGAATGCAACCTGAGATGTATGGTAATGATGTTTATAGCCACCAGTCATTTCAAATCAGGCTGTTGTGAGACCACCTATCAATACCATATCCTGACAGCTGGATCAGTCAAGAACAATGTTTTTGTCCTTTTTTACACCTTTGAATGCTATTCTATTGTGAAGCATGTCCTGTACATAATTTACCTTTTAAAAAGCCTGGAAATTTCTGCATACTGCAACATACTGATACAAATTCTGTAGAGCAGCACCTCATTCAACTCATTTCTGCAGTATTTCATGATACAGACAGTGTCATGATCGTATTTTAGGCCCATTGCCCCTGCTCCTTGCACTGACCAAGCACACAGTGGCTACATGATGATGTCCCTCTGTGTGTGCCAGTTGAGCACATCTGTGTGAGTTCCACATCTATTTGGTGACAGCAGAGTGAGGGATCACAGATCCCATTTGTGCTGCTGGAGGAGGTCCTGCAGTTGCCACAGACTTTTCTGCTTGCTTCTTCTTATGTCCCTGAACTTGGATCTTCTGCCTTTCCTGTTCTATCCCAAATATTTTTTCTGTTCCTTCTAACAACCCATACTCTTTTTGCAGGTGATATAAAGCAACTCCTTCTAGAACTCAATAAAGTCATAATCCTTACTATCAACTCCAGCTTTCAGCTCAATTACTCAGTGTAAAAGGAAATCCTGCTGAACTGGAGCACAGGAGCTATTTTTCCAGTGTTTTTCTATTACACAGCCAGTTTGGAGCACTTTTAGATAATCAGAAGCACCAGAGCTCTGACATGGTTTTCCCTAACAAATTTTCATGCTTAGATTCTCTGCTTTAACTGCTACAAATGTGAGAGTTTTCCCTTAGCAAACAATGCATATCTAACTGCACTCTTTGAAACAGCAAAGCCATGTCCAAAACTAAGACACAATCCAGTGGTGAGTTTAGTATGACTTATAAGCAATGGAAAGTGACTCACAATGGGAATTTATGATGGAATGACAAAACAGATGGCATAAATTTTTTATGGTTAAAAATATAAACGTGGTCCAAAAGGGGTGTTCCTTCTTCAAGGAGAATTCGGAATCAGCGTTTTAGGTAGTTAGCAAATGTTTGTGTTAATTTGCACAAATTAGCTGAAATAAACATCAAAAATGTGGTTTCATTCCCAGAGTTGTTTTGCTTTCAATTAGTCTAACACTGTTACAAGTAATCAAATATGATCGTGGTGATTAGGAAGAAGCTAGAGGTTTCTCTGAGTTCTATGCATCTCTTGCAAAACAAACAAACAAAACCTGGTTCTTAGAACCACTGGTATTTATAACAAGAAGGTACTGTTGCAGTTGCATCCTCAAAGCATGTTTCAGCCTTTCAGATCAACTAAAAGCCTAAACCTGCCTGGGACAGGAGATACGTTCCACATCATACTATTTATTTGAATGAAAAAAGGCTTTACAATTTCATAATTGAATGAGAGTTTCATATAATCCAGTTTGACTGCAGTGATATTTCATGACACTAAATTTTATCTGCCAACTTTCTGCTAATCTCAATAATTTATTTATCTGTTCTGTTCCAAAAGCTGAATTGTCTGCTCACAGTCTGTTGGTAGAGACTCTAAAATGTATTTTTAAAAGCTGCCTGAACCATAACATACTGTTACTTTTAATTACACTTTTCCAGTGTCAGGCAATGTCACTAGATTTCACAAAACATCCTAATAGCCTTTATTACAGACAGTGTCACAGACAACAACAAATTATCCTACTACTTTTGTCCTTGAAATTGATTTGCAAATTCAGAATAAATTGAACCTGGACACACTGTAATTTCACCACAGTCATATACGGTATTTTTCTAGCACAGTGCAAATTAAAATGAGAAGAGCCCTTGTGTTTGCATTGGGAACACTGAACATCAACAAGTACTGGTAAAAGAATTCAGTTCCTTAAAAGGCAGGAGGAAACAGCTTTAATTTGTTTCCCTGCAAACACCTGGTTAAAAGATCTGTTCAACTATGTAATATTCTTTTAAGGTCAAATCAAAATAATTTTCACTCTGCTGAAGCAATTACAATGGTTAATTCATCATCACCCGGATACAGTTTCACAGCAAGGCTCAGGTTTGCCAGTTCTCTTTCCTTAATGTGCTTTTATTGCTGGGAAAGACCAGAGATCTAAAGGAACTACTAATCATAAAAAAACTTCTAGAGATCTTTTGCACAGATCATACATTGCCATACAGCGTTTCTTTAGTAAACGTATTTAATGTATAAGGTCACAATGGGCTTAAATGCTAAATAGAGAAAAAAAAATCAAAAGGGGTGCTGAATAGTTTGAACTTCTGTTCCCTGAAGAGAAACTTCATGAATGCCCGAAATGGACAACAGAAAATGCATGTTTAGTTTAACAGCTCATGTAGGAAGGTATCCCATAGCCAGGATAAGAGAGACCTTCAGTCATTCTCCTGAGTTTGCATAGAATCAATAGACTAGAACTAAGCAGTTTTGTCAACACAGTTGACGCATCCAGGTATTTTCTTGTTTCAACATAATTAGGTAAGTAACTTCCTATTCATGAATCATTATTCTTTGTGAAGTTTGCTGTTTCAAAGGTAAGCAAGCCCAAGCATTTATTTCCTTACAAATCACATCCTGATGAAGTTTCTGCCATACTGAGATGTTCTTACACGGGGTACTGTATGTCAGTAAGCAAACACAGCTAATGCTATGGCCCTCCTTGGTTATAAAACGACACAAGCTGTACATTTCTTAAGCAGACTAGGGTAAAGGATGTCTTAGCAGCGGGAACGTTTCTGGAACTAATAACCATGGAATTTTGGTTTTACAGCAGGCGCTTGTTTTTCTTGTTTTCCTCAGGAACGAAAGTGAATGAATTGGAAAAGCAGTAAGTACAAGGTTACATGTCCTCCATAATAGTAATGAGCTCCTGTCAGAGGGAATCTGAGAGGATCCAAATCCCACAGCTGTGTAACAGCCTTTGCTATGCACGAAACTACTCTTTGTACTCGAGCTTAAGGAACGCCCCGTGGATGCAGCTCGACTGTGAGGCAATTTTCTGTCCCGTGTTGCAGTTTGGAAGCTGTGCTCACCTCGCACCTGCCCTGCTGACAGCACGCCATGCACATCCCCACGCTGTAAAAGGCTTTGGCGACGTAGGCTGCTTGATTTCAGACGGTCCCTATTAAAATTCATCATATTTTTCCCTTGTTAATGAAAAAGCGAGTGCCTTTAAGAGAAGCACGTTGCTATCTAAGTAATTCTGACCTGGTATAACGTACGAACTTCAGGGAAAAAAAAGCCCCTCTTTCTATGTATTTCAGCGCCATTTGAAAAGTTTCCAGCATAAACCTCGGTTTCTGGCAGGCAGCAGACCTGAGTTGCCGGTTCGTTCTGCACCCGTTTGATCTTTCGCGCCCCATCCGTGCGCGCGGCAGCTCGCAGCCGTTATCACCGCCCGGCACGCGCTCGCTCACAGCTGCGGCTGCGCCGCGCGGCCCGGCCAGGAGAGGCGGAGGCCTCGGGCACGCCCCGGCCCTGGCCTCGCCCCCTCGCACGGCCGCGCTCCCTCGGGCGTCCAGGCGGCTCGCGGCAGCGCCCTCCCCGTCAGTGCCGCCGCGCCCGCGCGGCGCGCCCCGAGCGAGAGGGCGGGGCCGGGCTCTGCAGAGGGTGACGTCACCCCTCCCCGCCCCGCGCCGGCCCCGCCTCCGCCCGGCGAAGTGGGGGGGGTCGGTCTCGCCGGCTGCGGCGCCGCCATGGCTGCCATATTGGGAAGGAAGTGAAAGCGGGAGGCGGCGGCGGCGGCCGGGAAGGAGCCCTTTTCTTTTCCCTCCTGCTCGGGCGGACGCGGGCCTCCCGGCGGCGGCGGCATCGCGGCGGCTGACGGAGCCGCGGAGCGGGCGGTGGCGGAGCTGAGCTGAGCGCCCCGCGGGCGGCGGCGGCGGCCTAAGATGGCGGACCCGGCGGAGTGTAACATCAAAGTGATGTGTCGCTTCAGGCCCCTCAACGAGTCCGAGGTGACCCGCGGCGACAAGTACGTCGCCAAGTTCCAGGGCGAGGACACCGTCGTCATCGCGGTGAGCGGGGGGCGGTGCTGGGCGGGGGGCGCGGGGTCGGCGCGGCGTTGGCGCGGCGGGGCGGGCGCGGGCTGAGGGGCGGCCGGGCCGGGAGGGAGGCGGCGGCGGAGCTTTGGGAGCCGGAGCGGAGCCCTCGCACGGCGCATGCAGGTGTGGGTGCTGGAATGATGTACCGCTTTTTAGAGCGAGTTAGGAGTGCTGATGCACCGCTCCGTGCCATTTGTCCATTAAATGTGGAATGCCGCGAGTCTGCAGCCGCGTGAAGGGTAGCGGGCTTATGAAATAGAGGTGACCGGGGGCTTTTCTCAGCTGGTAGATCGCTGTGGTCGAGTACGTTTTTCAGTTTGTGCAGGTAAAGTTCTCAGCAAGGATCCGAGCCTGGAAAACGGAGGAATTAATTGGAACTCATGATCTCACTTCAGTTAGTGAGCGTTCATTCATTGTGACAGCAAATGTTCTCTTCAAATTAAGGGCAGTTTTAGAAATCTTGATGTCTTCTGACTTTCTAACAAGTAATAATTCTGCACGTCTTCTTAAAGTACTCCATGGACTGGAGGAGGAAAAAAGAAGTGACGCTGCTTATGTACCCTAAAACGCTTGCTCTTAAAATACACTGAAAGTATCTAAAACATAAATCAGGCTGAGCTGGCACTACATCTGTGTAAAACAAGCAAACAAAAAAAATAACCCAGAAGTATATAAACAAAAATAATATATAAATAATAATAATGTAATAATATATAAAAACAAAAATATATATGTCCTGCAGTTGTCCCAGGGCAAGAACTTGCTATATGGAAGAATAAACTTCCAAAGCTGGTACATTTGTTAGCAGTGACAATACATGAGCTCTGTTTCACAAAATCTTAATATGTAGGATTGTTCTGTACATTTTGGTTTTTATAGTAATGAATACGATGCAACTGATGTTCTTGAGGTTGGAACTTCATTTTTCTTAAACAGTTGAAGCACTTACTGTAACCTGTAGACTTTATTATTATTATTATTATTATTATTATATATATTTTTTAACAAACTGATAGATTTTGCAAAGTCTTGAACTTTCTAAGAGAGCAGCATAGTCAGTTACCCACCTCTTGTGCCTTCTGGAACTACCAGAGGGCAGATGGTAACAGAAACAGTTCTTAGTTCTTCTTGTGAAACAGTTTCTAAAAACATTCCTCAGCTGTGCATTTGATTATTATCAGCTGATAGTTTCTGTATTTACTGCTGAAAGCCATTTTGGCTGCCTGCTGAACAGTACTTGAGGCACTTCTGTAGCTGCTTTCCTTAGCTGCCTTGTCTTGAGCAGCCTGAAGGGCTTCACCTTCTTGTGCGCGCTTGGTCTGTGCTGAAGCAGGGAAGGCTTCTTTAACAGTATCTGGGAGTTGCCTGGAATGGTAAATAGGAGCTGAAAACTGGGTGACTGCAGGAGCGTTTGTGACGGACTGCACATCTGACTCCTCTGTGGAGGCGGCTGGGGAAGATCGGTGACTACAGCCAAACCTTCTCCTCCTCCCTTCTTGGCTCCCTTGTCGTCTCTGAGCTATCTGTCCTCCCTTCCCCCCTCTTTCCCTAGCCCCTGCTTAATTACTGACGTGGCTGTCTTTCTCCACAAGGGAGTCGGTTTGATTTGTATTAGATAAAACACTTTATTGTAGCTGGGGCATAGGAGCAATGTGAGGAGGCAAGTCAGTCTGTCTTGAAGAGCAGACCTTGGAAACAAAGTACTGTCTTTGCACCACTTGGCATGTTTGTCTTTTTTAAACCAGTAAAAACCTTTTAAATCATTAATTGAGAATGCATCTTTCCATTCAAACACTTGAGTATTTTTGAATGGTTCTTTCAGCTAAGTAAATACGAGTAAATACAAGGGTTCTGTTAAAATAGAAAATGGGGTCACTTGTTATTGAGTATATGATGTTTAGGTTAAATATGGCAGGTCTCCTTATATGCAGAAGTTGATATCAATTTACTCATGAATTTCAGGCTTTTGAGTACAGCGGAATGTGGAGGAATAGCAAACTTACATGAGTATGTTCTTTATTTTTTCGAATGTGAGAATTTGCTTATCTTAAAACTACTCAAAAGATGAATTGCTGAATACAGTCACACTTCCTCTTTTTGAACTGATGCCTAAGCCGAAAACAGTGCTGTTGAATGATGGAAGTGGTGAAGTATTCTGGGTACTCACCCAAATATCCGTATCCCTTTGTCTGCCCTCTAGATATTCCACGTAGCAATCATAGAGCATTGGTTATTTCTGTGATTATTAACACAAAAGAACTCTGCCTGCCTGTATTTTCATATTTCTTTGGAGTGAGATGTAGCCCCTGTGAAGAGTGAGTATTTCAGCTTTCTTTTTCATTGCCTTCTAAACCAATACTGAATAGCAAATGAGAACAAGGCTGTGTGTCACATGGAAATAGATTAATGAAGATCACTTGCTATTACTGGAGCTTTTGGCAGTAGATTATTCAAAAATGAAAATGTAATTCACGTGCACTGTTGACAGAAAGGTGCTGACCCACATAAGTCGAAGAAGCAAGGTATGTTCTTAGAACAACTTTTAATTGGTATTTGGTAGTGTGAAAGAAAGCACAATTAGAAGTACAAATAAAAGCACTTGATGCCTAGATTGCAGCTGCAAGCGTGAATGACTAACAGCAATGAGAAGCTGAAAAGACTGTATTCCTTCAGTGTTTTTTCTTAATATTTTTGTCTCCTGTGAGATGGTGGATGATTGAGAAGTTTTTCAGCTGTTGCTGTGATGATTTAACAGAAAGCAAATGTTCTAGCTTGTTTGAAGGACAGTTATACCTAGTGGCTACATATCAGTTGTTTGAAACACCTCACTCATCTCTTATTTGTCTTCTGTTCTGAAATCCAAGGACCATTTTTATGCCAGCAGCACTTTTCTCTTTAGAAGAAACAGTAAAACCAAGGTTTTGCTGAAACTTTCTGCAGAACTGCTATTTTCATGCTGGAAATCGAGTTTTCAGTAACTTCTGTGTGTGTAGTTAACACTCCATCCATAACAATAAATAAACGGTGCAATTCAAGTATCAGCATGAATAATCTTTACAATACTTGCACAGCAAGAAGAAAAATAAGGCAGAAAGATTTCGAGATTCACTGACTGTTCTGTCTCAGCTGCAGTTGTTTGTGCAAAGCTAAGAAGGCACTCTGCTAGGTGTGTTCAGGTGGTAATTCCTTCACTTAGTAATAGGAAGAACTGAGTCAGGCCATTGTCTTCATACTTTCCAGGGACTGTTCACTGAGGTTTTTTTTAACATGTTTTGTGCTGATAGGAAGAATGTTCTTTATTAAAGATGCAAGGCAGAAGGTAAGCCCTTTACTTCTTGCTTCAGCCTCTTGTAAGTGAAGCATGGATAGCTGTGATGTTGTTTTAGCAGTCCATTCCAGTAAGTGGAGGATGATAGCTGGTCTTTAACTGCGGAACTCAGTACTTGAGCATAAACCCCATGTTAACATTCACGTCAGCCTGTGATAAATCGTGTTGGCAGAAGTGCTTTGTAGGGGCCATGGAGGCACTGCGGAGTTGTTGCTGTGGTGCAGCATCCCTTCAGTGCTGCAGTTATGGGAGCTGAAGTTCTCCTGTGGCAGAGAACTGGTCAGAAGAAATGCTAGGCTAGTCAGCGTTCTGCTTGTTTGCTTGATGTTTCTGGTGTCACTTATAGGTCACGTTAATTTCTTAATTGTAAGATTTGCTGAACGTTTCTGGGGTATGTTAAAGCTCATATTACAGAAGTGATACTGCCACCACTGCAGGCACCTTGTGGTAGTGCTGCTTGGGCCTCTTGTGTGTTCATGGCCTTCACGTCATCTGATCGTTGTACTCCTCGGGGAAGAAAAGACAGCCAGTGCAGGAAAAAATATCCAGCGCTTTAATCTTTCATGATTAATCCCTTAAAAGATAATGACCAGACTTTCTGGGGTGAGTTAATCTAGGTAATGCTATTTTGGCTTTGTTTACAGCAAAAAGTAAACTCTTAAAAAAGAACAGTGATAAGATGTAGTATTGCAGTTGTCAGTGGTGTGAAACAGCACTAAATGTAACTTGTATTCTTAAAACATGATGATCTTGGAACATGCTTAGTTAAACCTGCTTGGTTCAATACTGGTTCACTGATGATGAAATGGGCTTTTCATGTATTTTATAAAAAAACATTCTGCTGTCTGGAGTGAAATACACAATTGGGTTTTTGAGTGAAGTTGTGTTCTAGATTCATCTGGAGAAGTATAATGTTGAGAATAGGTAAACAAATATACCACTTTTTTTTTACCCCAAAATGGGAAATAACAAGTGGTGTAAGCAGCATCATTCATAGGTGTTCTTTAGGTTGGAATTACTGCATTTTGTACTTGCATTGGTAGCAGTTGTTGAGGGGAATTGATCTTGTTTATTTATACAGTGACAGCTGCTGGGCATGTGACAAATTCCAATTAAAGGCAATATTGCCTGAGTGAAGTCTTTGCAGTTTAGCTCTCTGTTCTTACTAATCTATGGCAATTGTCGTGTATGCTATTCTTCAAATCAATGTTTTGTAAACAAAAAAAGGCAGTAATTATACAACATGCTTTATCTCTGTTCTTTTATGAGACCATCTAAATGCCTATTTGCAAGTAAATAATCCAGAAGTATTCTATGTCTAGGGATTGCTGTTGAATTAGTAAATGTAATTTTCTCTTTACACAGATAGTAGTGTAGTTCAGTCAGCGTTTGCTTGCCTGAAGAGTAGGTGAGAAAAACCACCCATCTTCAAAACAGCATTTAAAAACATGCAGAAGGGGGGCACTGCCAGAGCCTGCTGCAGATACCCATGGACTGCAGGGTAGCCTAGCCCAGGTTCTCCCTGCTGTGCCTTCTGAGCAAGCTGTGTCCTCCTGTACTGGAAACCAGGCTGGATTGATTGGTTGGTTTTTGTTGGATTGCTTTGAGGGGAGTAAAGATTTGCTACTAGATGGTGGAGTACCTACTGCTACTTCTGTAGTAGTACATAAATAGACTATAGGGTAAGTGTAGATATTAAAGTACGGATAGCATGCAAAATGTTTGCACTTTAATATACTTTTCTGTTCTCATAGCTGTTGGTGCTCTGTTGGGAACAGCAAAGATAAGATGTGTTGTGAACCTGTGTGAAAACAGTGAATGTTGTTAATGGTTGCTGTGTAAACTGTCAGAAGATTCTGCCCACAAACCTTTCCTAATGTAAATTAAATTGTTCGTAATTTTAGGAAGTTGTAATTTAATTGGAATAATTATTTAAATATTTTCTGGAACAATAATTTGGAGCAGGGTTCGAGTTTTACAGGCTTGCTAATGTTACACTGATTATTTGCAGTGATTGTAGAATACAGAATGGTTTGGAAGGGACCTTTCCAGACTCCCTGCCATGGGCAAGGGCGTGTTTCCCAAAGCTGCATCCAGCCTGCCTTCCAGTGATAGGGCATCCACAACTTTGTGCAACCAGTTCCAGTGCTTCACCACTTCACGAAGAATTCTTGTTCTATCCAATCTCTTCCATGTTTAGAACAGTCACCCCTTGTGCTGTCACTACACACCTTGGTAAGGAGTCTCTCACTGTCTTTTTTTATGAGCCCCCTCCTAGTACTGGAAGGCTGCAGTGTGGTTTCCCCAGAGCCCTCTCTTCTCTAGGTTGAACGGGCCCAGCTCCCTCAGCCTTTCCTTTTAGGAGAGGTGCTGCAGCCCTCTGAACATCCTCATGGCCTCCTCTGGACCTGCTCCTGCACTCCACATCTTTCTTGTGTGGGTGTTGTAGGCCTGGATGCAGTACTGCAGATGGGGTCTCACAAGGCTGGAGTAGAGAGGTGAAATTGCCTCCGTTGGCCTGCTGGTCATACTTGTCATTCTGCAGCCCAGCATACATATAAGCCAGCAAAGTGCCTTCTGGGCTGCAAGCACACATTGCTGGCCCATATCTTATTTTCCATCCTCTGTCCCCAGATCCTTATCTGTAGGGCCTCTCTCAATCCGGGTGGATACTGGGGATTGCCCCAGCCCAGGCGCAGGACCTTGCACTCAGCCTTGTTGAATTAATATGTTTCACATGGATCTACGTCTGAAGCCTGGCAGTGACTGCCTGAGGGGCATCCCTTCCCACCGGTGTATCAGCTGCACCCTCCTCTCGGGCATTCACTTTTCGCTCTGGATTTCTCCAGTGGGCAGTGATAAACGTGATCTTCCATGGCTACTATTACGGGTAATAACTATTGTTTCAGTGTGTACACATATGCTGACAAACTTGAGCATGCGACAGGTGTGCCTCATGTTTGGGATGTGGATAGCTTGCAGTGTTGTAGAAGAGCTGCCTGGTAATGGTGAGTATGGAGGCTTTTTGAAGTTTTAGATGTTAGTGAGAAAGAAAACTTAGGAGTGTTTTTTATGGTGACGTAGACTTGTTACATAATGAGTTCTCAACCTTCATTTTCTTACCTTGGGGATACTTGGGCTTGCTTGTTTGTATTCTGGTGTACATAGAGACCTGAGTTCCACCTATAGTGCATATGGGTTTGAGGTGTATTTGAAGCTAGAATGAGTAATTGAGAAAGCCTGTGATTTCCCTACTGTGAAACAAATGTTCTGGCAGACTTCAGCACCTTAGGGATAGTTTCTGCCTGCTAAGTCTTGTGGTTTCTTGAGCATATTTACACAGTGAACTGTGTAATTATTTTCTTTTTTCCAAGAGGGAGCTCATCTATCTGAATTTCAGGCTCTCTAAGCAGAGGGATATGCATTGGCTCTGAAAAGCTTTGTTTGGTGTTATGCTAGATGTTATTAAAAGGCAAATGGAAGGTCAGGCTAGGAAAGGGAATGTGGTGAGTGGGTGGGTAAAAGATGGAAGCTAGACTTGTTCTGCTGCCAGGGAGGCAGTCCCACAATATCCTTGGGGGAGGGGAGGATGATAATGAATTACACATAGGCCGAACGGAGCATTAACAGTTGCAGTAAGTTTAGTGGTAGAAACTGACTTAAGGCCCTTGTAAACCTCAGCTGTCTGCAAAGATAATAAATCAAGCTCTAGAAATGCTAGGAGTATTTCAGCTTAATAAGATGAGCATGATAACTCATATCTTTATGGATTGTCAGCTTGTTACAGCTGTTACCAAATCCCACATTCTTTTCAAAAAGCTGTGTCAGAGCTTCCTCTTTCAGTGCTTTCCTAAGGAAGTCTATGGAAGTTCCCTTCCTCTAGAGTGGCCTTTTCCTTCTGCTTACAGAACCTTATTGTGGGGATATCGTGCGTGGGGAAATGTTTCTTGTGCTGACTGTCGGTGACCTGGATGTTCCCTTTGATTTGAGGTTTTTAACAAATACTATGAAGGCACATTGTGATGTGATGTAAGTTGGTTTTAATAATTTGGCTTTACCAAAGCAGCGGAGAAGAATAATGGGTTCTGAGATGTACAGACACTGGGCACTGGTTTACAGTGTAAATCGAGTAAGTAGAGGTCATGTAGCAGAGTAGTTATGGAAAACAATTTGGGTTGCGCTTAAAAACCAAATATGTTTAATTCAAGGCCTTATTTGTAAGCAAACATGTAAAGACTTAGACACATACATAAGCTGATTTATCACTGCGTCCTTCAAGTGCTTAAAATAAAACATAAGATGGGACTGAGACATGTAGGCTGCTTCTAAGCTATGTGAACAAACACCTCTCAGTGGTGCTTGCAGGGTCATCTTTTTTTTAATAGTTTTTTCTGATTCTTTTTACAGTCCAAGCCATATATATTTGACCGTGTATTCCAGTCAAACACATCCCAGGAGCAAGTGTACAATGATTGTGCTAAAAAGATTGTCAAAGGTAAGGTGGAACAAACTCTTTAATTACCAGGAAAAGCTTTATTTGTATGGGTTTTAATGTTGAAAACTGGTCCTTCTGTTGCTCCCTTTTACCTCCTATAAGTTTAATAGCAATCGTCATGGTTCAGAATATGAAATAATCCTGTAGTTGAGGTGATATTATGTCAGTACTAAGCCTGCTTCTCCAGTTTTTTGATGATATTTACCTGTTACTTTGTTTTTTTTTTCATATCTTTGCTGAAGGTTAAAACAGTTGGTCCTAAATTAATAAAAGATAGGCTTCTGTCTGTTTGAAAACAACTCTTATGAGTAGGTTGTATTTATTGGTGCCAGAAAACATCCTACAGTTACTTTTGTTTGGAGGAATGTAAGGTGAAAGGAAACTTGGGAAACCTGATGTTTGTTTTGTTTAACTTTGCTGTTATGAGTTACCTTATTTCAGTGCTGCTCAGTATTTCAGTACTGGCTCTCTAAACTTGAACCGTCCAGTTGGCTTTGTGGCTTCTGGGGATCGTGTGTTCTAACGAAGAAGGTTGCACCAAAGTAAAGTATGGTAGCAAGGAGTTTGGTAATTCCCTCAAAATAACATTGATTCATTTCTTAAGGAGATCAGTACAACTTCTAACTGGTTCAGCTTTTAAAACAATCTTATCAAAGCCTTCTTAGGACTGCATAAACTATCAACAATTGGAAGTAAGAAGAACATTAGTGAAGTGTTGATGGTTTTTAGTAAATAGGAAAGTGAATTGCTGTTATGAGTCCGTGCTGCTGCAGGTATTTAACTCTTGAAGACTTAAAGAGTAATCAGGATTAGATCAGAAGTTTTTTCCTTAAAAACAAGTTAACCAAGACTTGTATGTAATCTTGTCCCTTTCCTCCTCATCCTGCTTCTTCCAGCTGAACATTTAGTCTTAGTTTCTCTGGGTAGATTTTCTGTTCTGAGGTAGATCATGATGCTGAGGAGCTGTAGTGGTGGTACAGTTGTTATTATGTTTGTAATGGGAGGTAGACCTCACTGTTTGCAGTCTCTCATACTTGCTTGTGGAGTAGAAGTTTGCAGAATGGGATTTCACATTAACTGACTTGCAAACAAACCGCAGTCCTTCAGCCTGAAACTTCGAATTGATTTGTTCACGATTTAAAATGTAAGCTTATGGCCAAGGAGTAAGATGCTTGAAAACTGTAGAGTAACTCATTCTTTTAATCATCAGATACTCCAGCTGTACTGTGAAGGCAGCAAATAGCACAGCACATAGTACGATTTGTCTCAATGGTCCAAGGCTGTCTGTTCGACATGGCAGTTGTATTGATTTCCTTCTTATTACTGACTCTGAAGCTGTGTTTTGCTGGCTGAAGGAGCAGCTACTTCTAATACTTCTAATACAGCTTCTGAAAATGCAATCTGTAGCGACTGCATTAAAAGGAGTAAGGAAAGATGCTGCTGCCATCCTGTCCCAGAACCTGGTGTTGTAGCACTTTTCAGTCACTGAATGACTTAACTTGCTGAGCATTCTAGGAATTGCTTGCATTCTTTTTTAGTTGACTTTCCTTTAGGAGAAGGAAATCGGTCCTAATAAAATACTCTTTGTCTTTAGATGTACTTGAGGGATACAATGGTACAATATTTGCTTACGGGCAGACATCATCTGGAAAGACACACACTATGGAAGTAAGGCAACTTAAAATTATTTTCTTTTAATGTCACATTCATCTCTTTTCACCAAAGTGGTGTAAATTTCTAGAGATAAGATGTTGGCTTGTTTTCATGAAATCGTAGAATAGTTTAGGTTGGAAAGGATCTTTAAAGATCAGTAGTTCCAACTGCTCTGCAGTGGGCATGGATATTTTTCATTAGATTAAGTTGCCCAAAGCTCCCATCCACCCTGAATTTGAAGACTTCCAGAAATGAAGCATCTGCATCTTTCATTTTCCTTTCTATTACAAACTCTGGATACCCACATTATTTTTCAGATGTAAGAATGGCAATTACTGTATTTATTCAGCTATCAAAAGCAGGATGGAAAACACAATGTTGTTCATGGTAGATTTCTCATTGTTTTGTGTGAGGTTTTTGAGACTGTTCTTTTTGATCCTAGCAAGTGCTGGCACAAGTGGATGGTCAAGAGCTTCCTTTGCAGATAAAAAAGAAGTGCATTTACCCACCAACATTTTAAAGCTAGCTTGTCTGACTTTTTATTCTGCCTTCAAATGCTTTGTGCTGTTGGATTCAGTATAAATGTTTTTTCATTCCCTTTTCTAATAAGGGGAAGCTTCACGACCCAGATGGAATGGGGATTATTCCAAGAATAGTACAAGATATCTTTAATTATATTTACTCTATGGATGAGAATCTTGAGTTTCATATTAAGGTAACCTTTTCTTTATTTCCTATATGTATTCTATATTAAAAGTGGAAGTACTCTGTTGCTGAATGGGTGTTCCATATCTGTTATGAATGCTTGTGAATTGGAAAATACAAGAGGTTATTTCAGATGTAACTGGCTCTTAAAGAATAATACTTGAATCTTGTTTCCATTAAACATAGATGGTCACTATCTTGATAACTTGTGGCAGTGCTGTGTATTTTAGTTCATCCTCAAGTTTGTGAACTAGATGAGGCAGCATGTGAAGAGCTGAACATTCTTGCTTTCTAATGCTGTTTGTTGCACACTTCTAGGTGTCATATTTTGAAATATACTTGGATAAAATAAGGGACCTTTTGGATGGTAAGTCTCTTATTTACTTTGAGCATAGGAAGTAAACTCGGTAGAGATATTTAAAGAACAAAAGCTTTAGAATGATGCTGAGATGTGTCATGTTAATAAGTAACCCATCTCTGATACAGATACGTCAAAATGAAAGAGCACATAGGTAATTTATACAATGCAGCTGTAACTGTTGTGATGGTTGCTTGATGTATGTTCCATTTTTTACTTGGATCTGTTGTAAATGTCTCATTCTGTGAAGAAGTCATACATACCTTAGCTTTAGAACTTTTTCTCTTCCAGTTTCAAAGACCAATCTTTCTGTTCATGAAGACAAAAATAGAGTTCCCTATGTAAAGGTAAGTGTCATTCTGATTGTGTTTTGGTCTTTTGCTTCCAATGTAGTCCGTTTTCTTCTGGCTTATTGGTGTTTTGTTTTAAAGGGTTGCACAGAACGTTTTGTATGTAGTCCAGAAGAAGTTATGGATACTATAGATGAAGGAAAATCGAACCGACATGTAGCAGTTACAAGTAAGTGCTTTCCCTACCTGCTTGAGTGATTTGTCAGTTGCCTTTCTGACTTTTTAAAACGTACCATAAGAACAAGGACGGTGAACTAAATTCGCGTTGTTGAAAAGGCTTTGTACAAACAGTTGTGACATGTCTTTAAGTACCAAGACTTTCAATGTATTTTTTGTTAATATTGTTAATTAGGCTTTGATTGGAAAGAGGAATCAGAGAAGAGCTTTGATTGTTGGAGCTCTTCAATAAGGGGCAGTGCAGGATCTTGGTTTGTGGAGTTTGTTCCAGTTACCCTATGAATGTGTAAGCAAGCCACTGTGACTCATCTACTGTTTGGCCATTTTATTGTAGCCTGTGAGAAAAGCTGATTGGGTTATATTTTCAGATGTGCTGCAGATATAAGTAGCATCCCATTTGTTTTGGCCTGAGGTGTGCGAATGAGTTGCAAGGAGTCATGTCATAGGCCTCTGAATTCCCCCCAAGGATTAGGATTAGGAGTTGTGTCTGTTTTTGAAATGCAGGCAAAATAAAGAGGAGGGAAGGTGAGATGCATGCAAAACATTGTTTCTATTTGAAGTGACTCTGAAATCTTTGAGAACCAAATTGTTTGTGAAGTTTGTCCACATATTTGTGTGGAAAGGGGTGGGGGGGGAAAGGCATACAATAATAAAGAAAAACATATTTATATTCTTTGGTTAAGATCTGGGCATAAGAAAATGCTTCCATTGAGGAAAGTCCTGCCCTTATATTTTTGGTGCTCTGAGGTAGTAAGGTTCTGAAATAGGGACCAGACTAACAAACAGAAAAGTAGCAGAAATTTGAATAGAGGGATATTCTTTCATGTTGATCTGTTCCTGTGGTGCTGGTTAGTTTTTAAGCCTGTGAGAGATTTATAGACAAAAGGAAGAAGTAGGCAGACGTTGTTCAGATTGCAGTCGGATCAGATTTTTGTCAATTCATTAAAATCATCTTTAAGATTTGACGTGAATCTTTTACTGCTCACTTCTGAGATGAGATGTGCAGAATAAGCATTTAAACCAGAAAGGGTGGTGAGGAATTTTGGCTATGTACTTGGCATTTGCACAGAAGGATGTGCTGCAAACAAAGTACTCTGCTAAATGTAAATGTGCTTTCTTTTCTAATATGGTAAATTAGATGTCAATCCATAGTTGACAAACTATGGATAGTGAAGTCTTTAGTTAGATGGTACTGTTGGTTATTGCCTTTTAGTTTTACCGTGTCACAGTGATACCACTGTATACTGTTTCATTAGCTTTGCATCTCTCGCTTTAGCAAGATACTGTTTAGCTGAGTTAGATGGGTTGTACCATTATTTTTGACAAATTATATTTATTTTTTAATTGCAGATATGAATGAACACAGCTCTCGGAGTCATAGTATTTTTCTTATTAATGTAAAGCAAGAGAATACTCAAACAGAACAGAAACTAAGTGGAAAACTCTATCTTGTGGACTTGGCAGGTAGTGAAAAGGTAATGTTACATTCTTCCAGCTTTGAGAAGCAAAAATCATTCCTTACAATCAAACATTTTACAGTAATATAATAGACTGCTCAGTTCTTATCTGTGAAGTGTTTTAAATTTAATTTTGAATTGTGATTTCTTTATTGGCTGTTAGATATTATCTCTGAGCTGCTTTGCATTTCTTCGCTGAGGGTTTGTAAATATGGAGAAGGTTGGGAAGTAGGCTAGAGTTCAGTTTCAGTATCTGAGCACAGAAAAAAAGGGTGTGTTGGCTAGCCAGGTACTGTTATCAAGAGTCTATTTATGGATGTGGAATATCTACATTTTCACTTGATGGTGATACCAGGTTTTTTTATTTTTGAAGTACTGATTAACATTGTTGAAGTGACTGCTCAGCTTGCTGTGTCATGGGATTGAAGAAGAGAAGGAAACATGTACCATGCTGCTTATTCTATATTACTGTTATGTTATGTTATTGCTGTCTTCTTTCACACCGTAACTTACCCATTTTAAGACCTGGTATCCAAGTTTTGTATTAAATGTGGAAGGTGATTTTTCTGATGTAACATTTAGTAATTTATTGAAATACTTTAGGTTAGCAAAACTGGAGCAGAAGGTGCTGTGCTGGATGAGGCTAAGAACATCAACAAGTCTTTGTCTGCTCTTGGAAATGTCATCTCAGCTTTGGCTGAAAGCAGTGTAAGTGTTCTATGGTTTGTTTTATGACCTGTTTTTGTACTGCAAGATAAAGGGTTCGTATTTCTGTACAGTATGTTATAGACAAATCTTCATTGATCATAGTAATGTGCATGGAGTCTTTTAAAGTAATCCAATTACATCAACACATTGCAGTAATAAGGTTTTCTTGTACTATGTTGTCATTGATAAATAATAAAGTTGCATTTAGTAGTAAGGGGCCTAAACAGAGGGGAAGCTTTGTTGGACTCTGAAAGTTACCAAGCATAGAAACAAGATTTTAGATCAGTTGGTGTATGTTCAACTGAATGTTATATTAATTGAAGTAGAATTTAATCTCTCTTCCTAATGAAGTTATACCTAAGGAAAGCATAGCTCTTCAACAGAGTAAATAATATGAAAAAAAACCCCCAAAACACGACCAATTCTTTTCATCATTTTCTTGGTAGACTTATGTTCCATATCGTGATAGCAAAATGACCAGAATCCTTCAAGATTCACTAGGAGGTAACTGTAGAACCACTATTGTCATTTGCTGCTCTCCATCTTCATACAATGAATCTGAAACAAAATCTACTCTTCTCTTTGGCCAAAGGTGAGTATCATCTTAAATGAGGAGAGAGACAACAGAATTTCCTAAGAGAATTTAAGTGCTGTGTATGTGCTGCACTTGCGTGCCTAACAATGACAATAAAAGAAACCTTCTACAATAAACAGAGTGGTGAAGCTGTTCTTCAAGTATGTGGTTTGAGATCTCTAACTGATGCTGATTGTGAAAGTAAATGTACCTTAATATTTTGCTTTTACTAAAATAAGAAATAAAGGCAGTCAGGATTCCTAAAACAAATTATTTAGAGTATTTACTTTTTTCCTTTAGTTCTGCCATCATGAAAGCCATCGACATTTCTCTTTTTTCTGTGTCTCTTCCATTTTAGTTCAACAACAGAATTTTCAGTTTTATTTATTTCAGTGATTTTTATTACGGAAGGTAGACTGTGTGACTTTAGAACTTGTTAAAAATCTGTTAAAATAAGAACCTGAGTAGTTAGTAGGTGTGGAATCGTAACTGTGTTCTCCAGCAGTGGAATTCTAGTTTGATCTCCTTTTAGCATCTAGGAGTTTCTTTCCTTGCAATATTTCTAGCATTCAGGTTTGAGCAAGTGTCTTCCAGCTGTAGCTGTGTAGACTCAATGTCCCTTGCTCTTGAATATCTTCAGGAGTTGCTCAGGTAACCATAGTTGTCTGGTATCAGCTTTCTGGGGTTGTTAAGTTTCTGCTGAAACCTTTAGGTGTGGGAACTAAAGGTTAAGTAAATATTACGTAATTAGTAGGCAGTGATGTGCCTTCTGGTAGTAGTCACTCCCAGTGAGGCTTTGCAGAAATGTATGGGAGTCATGATGTTGGCAGGGATGGGTTTCTGTCTGCCAATAAGCTGCTTTTCTGTTTTCATCTTTTGGAGGGGATAATTCTTGGTAGGAAATAATATGTAAGTTACTGATGTAAGCCAGGTACCTTGCTAACACAACTGCATGTTAGCTTTGTTAAGGCGTGTTAGTCCTTGATATTTTGTCTCTGAAGGTAACCTGTTTGGGTGAGATTTGCTTGGCTGAATGTATCACCTGAATTAAATGCATCTGTACTTTGTAGCTCGTACACCTCTCCAGTTAATGCAGATCTAGTAACTGGACTTTGGAGCTGTTCCTTAAGCTAGGTGATTTACATCCTGAAAGTATTATGCTGTCCATTAGAGAAACGTTTGTTAGGTATGGTAAATGCTAGTCTTTGTTCAAATCTGTACACCATCCCTATTCAAGTGAAAGTATACAGCTGCTTCTTTCCAACTCAGCTGGCTTGAGTTTTTTTCAGTCTTCTCTATGGCTGTTACATTACTGAGTCCATTAACAATTGTATCAATCCAACTGAAGAAACAGTAAGTGGGCAGGGTGTAGGGTTGAGCTTTTGGAAGGAGTTGAGTTCTTTACACTTTCAATATTATTTTCTTTTTAAGAAATAGAATCCATTTTAGAGATTTTTCTTTCTGTGTAGAGCAAAGACCATTAAGAACACAGTCTGTGTCAATGTGGAGCTCACTGCAGAACAGTGGAAGAAAAAGTATGAGAAAGAAAAAGAGAAAAACAAGACGCTGCGTAACACCATACAGTGGCTGGAGAATGAACTCAACAGATGGCGGAATGGTGAGAAGCAGTTTTCTTTGTTGTGCAGACTTCAGACAAGGAGATGCCGAATTACTCTTCAGGATTCCAAAAATAATGAAGAACACAATGCCAAACAGTACAAAGAATACTAGTGCAAAGATGTTAGGCTGATGTTGAAGCTTACTATTTTTCATTGGAATTGGAACAACTTTAGTAATCACATACTGACAGAAATGTGTGCAAGTGTGTTGGTGTTAGGTTCTTCAGTGCCTGATTTTTTAGCAGAACTAGATTGAGGTACATTCTAAAAAACTCATCTGGAAGTAAAGAATGATACTAACTGTAATTGCAGGAACTGTGCAGAAACTTCAAATTCAAACTGGTGTTGTAAGATTTTGTCCTCATAATTCAAACGCTTCTATGGGCAAAAAAAAAAGAAATTGCTAACAGTACAAAATATGTGCCTGTTCTCTCTGAGTGAATGAATTCTTTTGGACTGAAGCTACTGGCAAAATGCAAGATAAATATGAAATTGTAAATGTGAGATTTAAGGTATGGATGTATTCTGGAGTTTTCAGTTTTAGAAGATGATTTTGACATCATAAAGTGATACATCATACAAATCAGACAATTTGTGCACTGCATTCTAGTGTAAATCTGAGGGAAGAAATGAAAGGCCTCACTTAAGTTGGGTGGGATTTATTTATTTTTCCTCCTCCCTGTCTTATGTAGAGACCACACCTGGAATGTTGAGTGCAATTCTTCCAGAATATTCACACACCATACAGGAATGTTGGAAAGAGCCCATATCATTCAGGGGCTGCATAAAGTGCTTTGTAATCAGACACCAAGGAATTTACTTTGAATTTACCAGAGAAGTGGCTAATTTTGTATGTGTTTTTTTTTTTTAAACGTGAAGGTAGTAGAGTGTTCTCAGGAAAGTGTTGATGGACATGGAAACATAAAAGTGTAATTGTGGGAATATTTTTAAAAAGCAAATCAGTTTAGCAGTAAATATGGCTACATGTCATGACAAACTGCCAAAGGGGGGGGGGGGAGGGGGAAAAGGGTTTCTGTCAGCAGTACCAATTAGATGCTCTTCTGGAAGACATTTTGACATAAGATTTACAGCCTATAGCAGAGTAACTGGCTGAAATGTAATGTTCAGTGATAAGCAGGATGTAGTCATTTTTGCCATGGAAGCTATGAACTCGATTGCTTATTAACCATGGAACTGTACTGTAATTAGGGAATAGATAATACTTGGAAGATGCTTCATGACCAAGTCTGCTAAAAATTCTTCATAAGTGTATTCCTTTATTTAAGGGGAGACTGTACCTGTTGATGAGCAGTTTGACAAGGAGAAGGCCAACTTAGAAGCTTTTGCAGTGGACAAGGATATTACTGTTATTAATGATACTCCAGCTACCACGATTGGAGTAACTGGCAATTTCACTGATGCTGAGAGAAGAAAATGTGAGGAAGAAATTGCCAAATTATACAAGCAACTGGATGACAAGGTATGCCTTTTTATATTTAACGTAAGACCTCTTTGAAATGCATCTTAAACTGCATTGTGTAATGCTTAATTTGCCAGTCTTCATTTGTTACTACAGCTTGTTTAAACTTTTGCCTGAAGGAGCTACTCTAATTCTAGAGTTCTGATTAAGTGATGTTCAGATGGCTTTATTCCATCCAAAATGAGCATCCTTTCTGAGGTTGCTCTTGCCCCTTTGCTGAAACTTTGCTGAAAAAAATTGTAATGAATGCAAAGGTGGGGTGGGGTGTTAGACAGAGAAAAATAAAAGTTGAGAAGGAGGAGCTCATGAGAATCTCAACTAGCATTTGTGCTTCCTGGATGGTGACCATTCTTAGCTGGTTATTTGGATTAATTCTGCACCAGAAGAAGGAAAATAATGAGTAAGCAGAAAAAGGTTAACTGGAGAGAAAAACTGCTGTTTTCAAGTAAAATATGCACTCATTGAATATAATCTAAAATTGAAACAGCTGTACTAAATCTGGCGAAGAAAAAACTTCTAATTAAATCTGAGTTAGTTTTGGAAGTTCAAAACAGACTGAGGAGGATTTGTAAAAGCACAGTCAGGAAAATGTTGTCTTTGGAGCACAGCATTGTGTACATCTGTTGTGTGTATGTATGTTTTTTTTTGCTTTTACTGCTTTGAGTTGTCCAGTCATCTCAGAACATGGAAAGATTATGTATCTGATGTTACCTTCTCATAGACTGATTTTCTCAGCGGTGTTTGTCAGTTTTTTGAACACTGTCTTTCTTCAACCGCAGGATGAAGAAATTAATCAGCAGAGCCAACTGGTAGAAAAACTGAAAACACAAATGTTGGATCAGGAAGAGGTGAGTTTTGCTTTTGTACCTTTATTTTGCTTTTCTTTGAGTCTCTGTCTGAGATATTCATAATGGGCCAAAGTTTATGACTAGGAAGAAGGGTGGTGGCTCATTACTGTGCAGTGTTCTTTTTTAACCTGAATTGAAATGCTCTGCTTATTCATTCTTTCCACTTACACTGTGCTTTTGGCTACATCTGAGCCAGTCTACTTGAACCTTAAGTATCCATGAGGACAGAAGAAACCTGTGTGTCCCACTGTAAGGATCCTGCATTAGCAGGGGTGTTGGACTCGATGGTCCTTTTCAACCTTTGCAATTCTGCAAAGTATGTTATGCAAAAATGTAGGCTGTTGTCTTCGTACAAAATTAGCAGTTTGTCAAAACTGAAAGTACTTTGATTTACTGTAAGAAATCTTTTCTACTGTTTGCTTCAGTCAGTATTGCTGTACTGGCAGAGAAGTTGGGCTGGGGCTATGTGTGGAATATTGTGGCCCTTGATATAAAAAGGGAGATCTTTGTTGTTTCTACTTAGTGATACATTCCAAATATCAGTGACATGTGAATACAAGTATAACTTAATTGCATGGGTAAACACCTATCAATTTCATTTAACAAAGATGACAAATGCTACTTATTTGTTTCTTAAAAGTAATAATTAAAAACAAACAAACAACTTGATGTGTTGGCCAAAAGGGAAATGAGTTGAGAATGCAGAAAGTTGGAGCTATTATTTACTCTTTACTTGAGTTACATCTTTTCCAACTCTTTTGTCTAGCTGTTCTGCAGCAGCCAACTGTGTTGAAGTTCTGAAAGTTTAATCACTAATTTGTTGACGGTTTTAGATTCATGAGAAGTATTCGGCAACTCTTTAGAGGACTTGCAATGTTTTGTGTGTTTTCATTTGCCACCTTAAGGGCCTTGGTCTGCTCTCATTTCCATTTTGCAAAGACTGTAAAAGTTGAAGAATTCTGGGTATAGGTGTATCTCATTGTACCTATGCTTAATGTCCTTACTTTGTTATGCTAGACACTATAAAAAAAAAAAAAGTAGGTACAGACAGTGTCAGTAGATACATGAAGACATGAAGATTTCACTTATTAATGCATTTTTTTGTTAATAATTTGTTAATTTAAATAAATCTTATCGATGTTGTAGCTTCTAGCATCAACTAGACGGGACCAAGACAATCTGCAAGCTGAGCTGAATCGCCTTCAGGCTGAAAATGATGCCTCTAAAGAGGAAGTGAAAGAAGTGCTACAAGCTCTTGAAGAGTTAGCTGTCAATTACGATCAGAAGTCTCAGGAAGTAGAAGATAAGGCAAAGGAATATGAACTGCTTAGTGATGAACTCAATCAGAAATCGGTAGGAAAATTGATTGAATTGATGAGAATCTTCAACGTATGGATTTTCTTGTCTTAGCTGTGTATCTTGAAGCCAAAGGTTTTTCTCAAGGAGAAAATGAGAGTTTAAGTCTAGAGCTTGCTTAATACCAGAAAAGAAACTCCTGATTTGATCACCGAAATGACTGATACACTCTTTATATGGCTTTTTTTTTGTACTCTCCTTCCTCTCTTTTGCATGAAAATCCAGGAATTCTTTCATGGTAGATATGTCCTGAAAGATTTCTTCCTGTGTCAAAATTTGTTTGTATGTTTAGTGAAACTATTTGTGGAAACTGTGTTAGTCCTCTCAGTAGCATTCAGAGACTGCACAGTTTTGGTACTGATGTGTGTTGACAGAACTGAGAGATGGATATAGAAGTAAAATTAAGGTGTTGTCATTCTCTGTCTGTCGCAGCAAACCCATGCAGTAACTATCCTTTGGCACCACTGGAATATTTCTGCTCTTTTAAAGCTGGTAAACAAAGAGCAGGCGAGTTTAGAGCACGCAGGCTACTGAATTGCAGCTGCTGCAACCACAGCAGTTCAAACTAACTGCAAATCTGTTCTGGAGTAATAGCAGTGCTTACATGCTCCCAGAACTGGGTGCTGTGTTTTGATGTTGCAATATTATGTAACGTAGAAGTAATTCTAAAAATGTATGCATTGTTTATTGAAATGTAATTATTTTTACTGCAGGTCACTTTAGCTAGTATAGATGCAGAGCTTCAAAAACTTAAAGAAATGACTAACCATCAGAAGAAACGAGCAACAGAGATGATGGCCTCCTTACTAAAAGATCTTGCAGAAATAGGAATTGCAGTCGGAAATAATGATGTCAAGGTAAGAATTAGTGCAATTTTTAGTGCCATGTATTGCACGCACACACTGTGGATGGATAGGGTGAGGCTTCATGGTGCAGTAAAAATAACCACCATAGGAAGCCTTATGTATTAATAAATTCAGAATTAGGTTATTTCTTGCTTTTTCTGTGAGTTTCCAGGTACCAAACAGAAATTGATTATGCAAACGTGAGAGAGAGCAGGTATGATAATTGAAATAGTGTTTTCATTCATACTGTTCTTGGGACCATGACAGTTTCAAAGGTGTTGTCTTGGACCTATAGTGGCTACAGGGAGGTTACTTCCCTTAAAAATGGAACATATTTCTGAAATAAAGTGTAATTTAGAGGATGAGCATAGGACAGGAACTTAAGCCGTGCTGTAAGTGACATATTACCTTTGTGCAAACAAAATAGCTCAGGAAAGGAAAACAAAAACTAACAGAATAATTATTTTCAAGAGTCTAGGTTAGATCAAGTAATGCTTTTTTGGTGTTAACCTGCAGATGCAATTTGTCAATACCTCAGTCAGGTTCATTAGAGTTAAGCTCGTAAGGGATGAGATATTAAAGGTAACCTTTTAAGCATGTTACACTTCCAGGTTATTCATGTAGGTTCATTTTGATGGCTGAGTGCTGTGATTACTGGTTCGGGTGAGCGCCAGAATGCTAGGCACTAAATTGCTTTACCTCATCTTGAATTCTGTTTCTGTACCTAAGCTTTCTAAATGTGATTCCACAATTTTCAGCAGCCTGAGGGAACTGGCATGATAGATGAAGAATTCACAGTTGCAAGGCTGTACATCAGCAAAATGAAATCGGAAGTAAAAACAATGGTAAAACGATGCAAACAGTTGGAGGGAACACAGGCTGAAAGCAATAAGAAAATGGAAGAGAACGAGAAGGAGTTGGCTGCCTGTCAACTCCGTATCTCCCAGGTAAGTGTTTCTTTACAGAACTCAGCTGTATCCTTTGTATTTGTGCTTTTGAGTAATTGTGCAACAGGATGTTAGAATTTCCACAGTATGTTTGCAGCCTGATAGTACTTCTGTAACATTTGTATTAATTACTAGGATCTTTATGTTCTCTGTCATGGGACCACTTACAAATACACATCTCACAAATCTTGTGCTCTGCTCTAATGCGTCAAGTTTGAAGTGGAAGAGGTAGCGTTAGCACAGTGACATTGCAGTAGTTTTACATGCATAATTGGCCATTTTTTTGTGGTTGTTAGAGAAGATGAGCGATGTGACTTCTAACCACCACCAACATTGTGATTACATGTGCAGTTTAATTATTTTGATTTACATACAGATCATCTTTTATGAATAAGATGATGTGTGTTTCTGTGCAGTTTTCTAAATGCAGGGAGCCTCTTTCTGATCTGATAGTATTTAATATTCAAACACATCTCTTCTCCCTGCCAGAAAATGTGCTTCACTCAATTGAGCAAGGTGAATGCAAGATGTTCTAACAGGCTGTGTTACAGACCTGGTTGTGTAGTCATATTCTTCTTAGAGATTTAGTTTGCACCATCTTTATTTTGAGACCAGGTTGCTTGTTTAAAGAAATAAGAAATAAGGTGTTTGTATAGATGTAATTCCACGATACCTAGTTCTGAAGTAAATGCATCTTTTCATTCTGCAAGCACGAAGCCAAGATCAAGTCATTGACTGAGTATCTTCAGAATGTGGAGCAGAAAAAGAGGCAACTGGAAGAGTCTGTGGATTCTCTTAATGAGGAACTAGTTCAACTGCGTGCACAAGGTAAGAACAGTTTTTGGTAGTCAGTCCTTCCTTCCCCCACCCCAGTTGAAAAATGTAAGAATAAATATGGAAGTGGTCAGTTTAGATTGAAGGGCAGAGCTATAAGGTAGCTTCTTGCTACTGAACCTACAGCGTTAGTCAATGGGAATACGTACTTGCTGTGTTCAACTGCTAAGAGTAGGATTAAAGATGTTAATGATTGTAATTGATGTACATAGATATGCAACTTGGGTATTTTGAGGTGTGGGAGAGGAGGAAAGGGGAACTACCTTCATCCTCTTTGTGGCAGCCTAGATACCGAGCTGAAAAGTCTTCTCTTTTCTCCCATTTCTAGAAAAAGTCCATGAGATGGAGAAAGAGCACTTAAATAAGGTTCAAACTGCAAATGAAGTCAAGGTAAGCTATTTTTTTTTTTTTTTAACAGCCCAAATTGTAACAACTCAAAGCATAATACATGCTGTTTTGTTTTTTCAAATAGCAAGCTGTGGAACAGCAGATTCAGAGCCATCGTGAGACACATCAGAAACAAATCAGTAGCCTGCGAGATGAAGTTGATGCAAAGGAAAAACTTATCACTGAACTCCAAGAGTAAGCGATTACCGTCATTGTGGTATTGGCAAATGTCTCCAGACTGTGCAAGTACAGAAGGACAGTAGGATGGGAGGGAAGTGGCAGGGATTTTTCTTCATATTTCTGTTGCTTTACTGGATGTCATTTATGATAGATGCACTTGACTGCAACAACATATCAATAATTAGAAACTAAGGCTTCTGATAACATGACTTGGATTGCAGTTTAATGGATTTCTGGATGCTTGTCATTATAGTGATACAACAAAGGTCTTTTCTGCTTCAGGTTAATTTAAATAGATATCAAAGACATATTCCTTTCCCATCCTTTTGAAAATACATCTGATTATTTACTTTGTCTTCAGCCAAAATCAGAAGATGATGCTTGAGCAGGAGCGTCTGAGAGTTGAGCATGAGAAGTTAAAAGCAACCGATCAGGAGAAAAGTAGAAAACTGCATGAGCTTACGTAAGTGATGATCTCACATAAAACAAGTGTGTGGAGGAACTTTTTTTTTTAAGCTAGAGACCTGATATGATGATGAAGTTGCTTTCACTGTTTGATAGATATGTTATTAAAGTGAGGCTCCAGAGCCACCTTGAATTTAATTTTTTAGAACCTTTTCCACTGCCTTAGTATATAAAGCTGGAAGTAAAATAATGAAGGATGCAAAGATGTCATCATTTTATGTGACAAAAGGCCTGGCATTTTTCAATGTCAGTGTGCTATGGGATGAGCAGTTAACTTCCTATTTTTACAGCTAAGTTTTGCATGCTGTAAGACTAGAAGAGACTTGCATTAACATTAGAACTGATCCTCACTGTTTCTAGTTCTTGCATGGTTTAGCTAGTTAGGTAGTTCTGACTTAAACTGATCTGTTTGTAAGCAATAATCAGCACATACTTCTCAGGACTTTTACTGTGAAATACGTTGTTGGTTAAATTGACTGAAATTTGAATGGTAGTGTGTAAGTAAGTCCACCTTATTTATTTCATACACCTCTAATAGTCCCAATAGATTTTCTTGTCATAGAAGATTTAATAAACATACCACATTTGTTTCATATTTTGCAGGCTAGTAAAAGAAATACACAGCATTGATCTCTTAAGGGGACTTGCTATGTTAGAAACTTTGCCCTTCCAAAGATCTGCAAGAAACATTAAAATTCATTTGATATTATGTCCTCCTCCTTCAATCCAGTTATTTTATCCGTTGCACATCAGAAATGTGCTGGCAAAGGACAGAACAGAAATGATGCTGATTATTCACATTTTATTGACCTAAATAGTTGTATAAGGTGTCTACAACTACTTTTCCAGTGAGGTCTTGAAAATGGATAGAATGCTGACAGATTCTTTAGCATATTTGATAATCTCAGATGTTTAATCACTTAGCTGCCATCTAGTAGTGTGTAACTGGATGAGAACTTTCCAGAGCGTTAGCAGTGCAGTCACTGCTTGCACGTTAAGTAGGAAGACAGGAGGAGTTCAGAGCAGTACTGCTGGGTTATATTCCTGGAAACTGAAATTCCATTGCTTATGGTGCAAGCTTTGGCAAATGTAATGGAGGTGAGGTGGTGGAACAAAAAGAGAGAATCCCAAATCCATTGCTTGATACTTAACACATTCATAGATGATTGAAGAGAAGAGCATTTGTAGAATAAGATTTTCACTGGTGTTACTGAACTTGATTCTGAAAAATCTTCCTTCATTCATTTTATAAATTCATAGCTTAGGTAGCTGAAAGTACTTGTTTGTATCTGTTCAGTATTAGGAGTTCTCCCTCTTTGCCATTTGCAGCTTTCTCCCTTGTTCCATGCGGATTTGAGTCATGTCATCAGTTGGTTATATCCGTAATCGTGAGGGCTGCAGCTGAGAAATAGATGTTTTTCATTTGAACCATGTTGTTTACCGCTCGAGTCTTCTTAAAGCATTTTCAGCTTTGTTCAGATGCTTTAGGGTGAATATATTCTCTTTTAGGGTTATGCAGGACAGACGGGAGCAAGCAAGGCAAGATTTAAAGGGCTTGGAAGAGACTGTGGTAAGCTTATCAAAATATGTTCTGTGGGAAATGGAATTACTTGCTTTTTTCCTTGAGAAATTTCTTCTCTTCCTCAACTGTAGGCTAAAGAACTTCAGACTCTCCACAATCTTCGGAAGCTGTTTGTTCAGGATCTGGCTACTAGAGTGAAAAAGGTAATGTGGTGCTGTGATGATATTTGGTGTCTCTGAGATTGTTGTGTACATTTCAGACTCGGTTCTAAACTGAAATTCATCTGTGTTTTTTCTGGTTTGATTTTAACACGTAAGTTCAGATGTGTACTCGGTATCTTTTTTTTCCCTTCTCATGCCTTTGTTACTGCAGAGTGCTGAGATTGACTCGGATGATACAGGAGGCAGTGCTGCACAAAAACAGAAGATTTCTTTCCTTGAGAATAATCTTGAACAGCTTACAAAAGTTCACAAGCAGGTACGACGAGACCTAATTTCAAGTTCAATCAAAAGCAAACAGACTGCTTAAGCTGCATCATCATGGAAGTGATGTGTTGTTTATGAAGTAACTGTTTTGAAAGTATTTTGATGTCTTGAATGTATTTCTTGATATAAAACAGTAGGTTAAAGTTTTCCAATAAATTAATTCGGTGGGTACCAGTGAAATAGTTGTTTAAACCAGAGAAGACTGAAGCTGGTGTTAAGAGTCAGTGTCTCAGTCTGGGTGAGATGCCTGCTTGTCCCTGACGGCACGTAGGTTGTGAGTGTCTATGTTGGATAGCGTGTTCTTTCATAGTAGCAGATGACAATCTTAGTGCTGAGCTATTAGATTTACTAAAAGTTTAAGTACGCTAGGATAGGTGCCGTGCTGTTCATACCAGACAGTATGCCTGGTCAGGGGATTGTGTGTTGGTTGGCTCTACCCATAAAGAGAGAATCCAAGAAACTAATGGATTTAATTTCTGTAGCTGGTACGTGATAACGCAGACCTTCGCTGTGAGCTTCCGAAACTGGAGAAGCGACTTAGGGCTACAGCTGAAAGAGTTAAAGCTTTGGAGTCTGCACTGAAGGAAGCCAAAGAGAATGCGTCTCGTGATCGCAAGCGGTATCAGCAGGAAGTAGACCGTATAAAGGAAGCTGTAAGATCCAAAAATATGGCCAGACGAGGACATTCTGCACAAATTGGTTAGTAAAGAATCTGTTGGCTTCTAAAACTTCCAGCTCTCCTGATGTACTTTTTTCTCTGCGTGTATTTTTCAGCTGTAGTTGGATCCACTCACATGAACATGGTGCAGTGTTCTACAAGTTCTGTTGTGGTTAACAGTTGAACTGTGTGTGTGTTCTGTTATATTTTGTGTCAGATGGATCATTTCTGTGATCCACTATGTGAGCTGGGAAAGTTTTACCTAGAATTCTACTCTGAATGTGTGTTCTGGCTCCTAGAACAAAACAATATTGAATGCACATCTTATTTTTATTAACAACATTTCAAGATATTCAAGAAGTAGGTGTGGGGGATTTAATAGACATTATCAGTAGTAGATGTGCTGTTGGACTGGATCTTAAAGGTCTTTTCCAACCTTTATGATTCTAATATGGCTTCGTAAGGCTGTATAGTTTTGTATGAAGTTATGAAGTGTTAGGAGCTGGTGCAGTGCTCAGTGCAAACAGTATTTGTTTATGAAAACACATGAAGCATGTGGATTGCCTGTCAAAATTACTTTGTGTTGAGTTCCAAAATATAGCGAGTATTATAACGCGTGCTAGTAAGTAGTGCATGGAGCAGTGTTGTTTGTGGAGCAGCCCATATGCAGAACTGCTAGCAGAGCAGTGTAACTAGTGATAGGTGTGAGGTGGGCAGTGTGGTAGAATTCTTCTCAGGAACATAATGCTTGTGAAACTCAAGTGATGAACTGAATTCCTCCTGACAAGAGATGGTGCTCTTCCAAGGACATCCGTTAGGTGGAGCAGATAATACATGTGAAGATAATTATTCAAAACTTTGTTAGCTTTAATTCCAGCAGGGACAATAAAAGGAACACTTTGTCAGATTAGTACTGAGCACTGAAAAACAGGCAAGTTCTAAAAATACCATCTCCTAAATTTGTTTTAATTTAATTTAAAATGCATTCAATTTTTATTATTACTCCTAGGACGCTGTAAAATAAGCATTAGTAAATTTGAATGTTGAAAGTGTTACATGCAGACCTGTAAGTCGTGTCTCTCCTCATACAGCTAAGCCCATCCGTCCTGGCCAACATCCAGCAGCTTCTCCAACTCATCCAAGTGCAATTCGTGGGGGAGGTGCGTTCACTCAGAACAGCCAGCCAGTTGCACTGCGCGGAGGTGGAGGACGGCAGGACAAAGTGTAAGTTTGGCTCGAAGGGTTTGAGGCTGCTTTTGTGTAGCTTCATTACTGTCCATTCTTCTGCATAAAGTCACATGAAGAACCGTGGACTTTTTTTGCCTAGAATTTATAGTTTGAAAATCAGTATTGATGTGCATCTGATGAATGCAGTTGTTTTGTTTCACAACTAACATTTATTGTCCAACAGTAATGCTGGAGTTCTGTTCCAGTAGAGGGAAAAAAAAAAAAAAAAAAAGTAAAAAAAATAAAGGCAATAAGGATACTATTGCCAGCCACAGCAAATAGCTAATATTTGGGAAGGGAGTGGACATGTCATGTTCTTTTGGCTTGCTAGTATTTCCTTTTGTAGGTCGCTTTAGAAAGCTTTGGGCAATAAAATAAAAAAGACCCTATTCTTATACATTGTTTCCTTGCTGTTTATACCAACTGTGTACTGTGTTTTGTGTGTTGGTAATTTGCAGGTGTTTAATGGAACAAGTAATGTCTCTGTCCAGTAAATTTAAATGTACTAATTAAAATACAGCAATAGTAATTGAAATCAATATATGCATTTTTAAAATTGAGACTACATCTCTAATCTCATAAATTATTAAACTGAGTCAGGTACTCATATGTAAGTTATTCACTCAAGTCTCTTGTTAACATCTTCACTGTAGTTCATTTATTGACCACTGAAGGGAAAAGCTTTGCTGCCTCCTCTGTCATCACCCTCACTTCTGAGTGTTCAAATAGGGATATCTTGTAGGAATTCTTAGTTAAGATTATCTGTATCTTCAGTTGGAAAATGCTTCCAATATGATCGTGTGATCATTGGCCTTTCCCTTGTTGAATGGCTCCAGAGTGGCTTATAGTAATCTTGTTTTTGTTCATTTATTGTTGTTAGCTGAATGTCTTTTCAAGACTTTTGCTGTAATTGAGGGGAGGAACTTAGGCTGTAGAACTAGTTAGAGGAACCTGGTTCTGTTCAGTAGTCTTTCTTAAGGTAGAGGGTGAAGTGGAATGTAACTTAACTTGGAATAACATCTGCCTTCAGTGACCAAGGAGCTGGCGATTCATGGATGTTTGATTATTATTTTGGAGTGATGAAGCTTATCTTGCAATTACTTTGACACTGAAGGTAGTCTAGTTCAGCTGTCCAATGCAGAGGCATCTGGTGGAGGTGTGATTGACCTAATTTATTTTAGATGCCTTGAGCATGTGGATATTTGTGGTACAATAGTGCTGCCTAGATCTGTAAAGAGAGAGAGAAAGAGAGAGATTACTGAATGTCATACGTCTTTATCAAGTAGCTTAAGTACCCTTATAATCAGCAATAAAGGACTGAATTTTGAGCTTTTATCTTGCTGTGAAGAAGGAACTTTCACTGTTGGCTGTGAGGAATTTAAGCAGGGACTTAGCACTGTGAGTTTTGGACTATTTGTAGATAAATCATCGGAGAGAGAAAAATAGGTAAGTTTAAAAAAAAAAAACAAAAAAAAAAAAAAAAGAACAACAAAATGACAAAAGAAACCAGTGACATAATATGCTCACAGAGTTTCTTTAGGCAGCTGTAAAGCTTTCATAGATATCTTCAGTATAGGCCTGTTACCTGTTGCTATATAATAGTGCTGAGTTTAGCTCTTAAGAGCAGAACAATGGTCTTTTTTCTTTTTATGAGGGCTTATACTAAGATAGCAAGCATCTGGATTTCTGGTTAGGTTAGAACTTCTGGTACAGTAGAAACATGATATGCTGTTTCATATCTGGAGACTGCCATTTAACAAATTATTCTAGGTATTCTCTGGTAAACGAAGAGAGAGTCCTTTGTTACTTCCCTACAGAATCAAACTTCATTAGTGCTAAATAACCTCTTCATTCCCACCGTGTCCTTCCAGAAGAGCAGCAGCTGCTAGGTGGGTAGGTGGTACCCAGACAGTTCTCACTTCCCTGGAAAAGTAGCAATAGCTGTGGGAAATGGAGATAGAATTGGCTGGATTGTAATGTTTGCTGCTTTGAGTATCTGGTCTCAGTAGTGTTAGTCAGCTTATCTTGCTGTAAATTTGTATTGGTAACAGCCAGCATTGCTTAAATGCTTTGTGTTGCGTAATTTCTCATTCTAAAGCAGATGTTGTATTAGCATTTATTTAAGTGGTTTAAGAATTGAGCTCTGAAGAGCTGTATAAATAGTGAATGTGTTCTACTGTAAGTGTAAATAGCATGGCTTTTTTTGGCTTATCGAGTACAAACCTTTAACTCCTTTATTTTTCTCATTTACAGTTGCTGAGAGGCTAATGCAGCATGAAGAGGATTGGATATCGTGTAGAGGGAGTCATTCCATGACAATAATCTCTCCCTTTGGGGACTGTAGGATTATTTTTTGAAAATGTATAAATTATACCTGGCCTGTACAGCTCTTTTCCCTTCTACAAATTCTGCTAACTAATTCCCCCTTCCCCTCCAAACAAACAAACTAGAGTGCAATTTTGGCGTCTTGAAAAATGACATGTTAGTTAAAGTGTAGCTCTGCTCATTACACGGTTTGTCTTTCATGTCTTAAATTTAGTCTGCACTGTGCCAAGCTGAATGTACATTAAGAAAACCTTAGTTCAGATTTTCTAGCTTCTTTTGTGTACATTTATTGTCTTAGGGAATGTGCAACAGTGTTGAAGTATATTTCCATTTCCATCACTTCACATAACACTACGTGTCCCACTGAACTAGAGCGGCACTGCGTAACATTACGGTTTTCCTTTGGAATGCTGCATAGAGCATTGGAACTAAACTTATTTGTACAGCATCAGAATACTGAAGTGTGCTTACAACAACTGCCCTACGGCACCGCGAGCACTGCACCACAGAACTACAGGGTTCAGTATGAACGAGGCTGTTCCACTGTTATCTGATTCGATGCCCCTCTATCGGGTGCTTTAGAATTAAACACTGTACAGTACTAAGAGTAAACCGAAGTTTACAAAAAAGACTCTGGAATGGATTGTCTCATCTGTCCTGTTCCTGATTCTACACACAGTACAGTCTGGTGGAGTGAAAACATTCTGCTTCATTCTGATGAGCTTGTTTATCCATTTGTCTCTATCTGTGACGGTTCACTTTTGCTGTTTCATAATAGTGAAATGAGCACCATCTAAAATGTAGCTCGATATTCCACTGCATACACAGTACTGAACTTTGGGCTGAAATTTTGACTTCCAGTTACAGTAAATTTGAGCAGCGATTTCAGATATGCCTGATCGAGGATAAGACTTCTTAAAGTGGATGTATCTGCAAGTCCCAGAGATGCGTTTAAAAATAAAAATAAAGCACTACACTGAGTTGTACTTGTAATCCGTTTGTGAGTAGGTATATGGAATGTCCAAAGTAGTAGTTGTTGAATCTTTTTTCTTCTCTTTGCAATAAAGTCCTGTGAAGTGGCTAATGAAATGAAACATGGGGTTTTTTGGTTGGTTTTTTGAGCTCTGATATTCCCACTGAGCTGAATCTGGGTTTTAAACTCTTCTAGTGCAATTTGCCTAACTTATTCATAGGGTTTAGCCACTATAATTCTTAGAACAGCTTCTGGATAGTAATTAGTTATCAGGTCTTTTGAGGAAGAAGGAACTGAATGTTACGGAAAGAATTTGGATGGCTCTCCATGCCCGATTAATACCACTTTGGAGTTTTCTTGATGGGTGTTCTGCAATTATTGTGGAGAAAGAGATCTGTGGCTGTTCAGACAGCAGTTCATGTTCAACTTTTATATAATAAATAGAGAAAATATTTATATTATGATGGAGTGCAGTCAGACTTTAGACCTTGAACCACTAGTTTTCTATATCTACATTAGTCTGAGTTTTTAATAGTTTGCTTTTGAAAGGCTGAGTGTATCGGTCAGAAATGTCACTTGTTTTGGAGTTTTCAGCTTTTAAGGCTTCTGTTGGTGAAGGCTGCCCAACGCTCCAGACTTGCTTGTTTCAGAGCGTGTTCAAACACAGCACACTGAGAAAAGGAACAGCAAACAGTTCACCTGAGTTTTCTCATAATGGAAACAGCACTGTCCGTCATTTCTCTTTGCATTAACTCCTTCAGTGCTCAGGCCTTCATGTATTGATTTGCAATCATAAAAGCAAAACCCCTCTTTCTTGAAAATGCATTCAAATGAAGCAGGATTTTTTTTCTCGTGCCTGTGAATGGGGGTTTCATTTCTGTGGGTAATCATTGTGGGTTTTGGTGCTGAAAATTGCTGTATTTAAAAAAATAAATGGTAACTAATCTGTAGCTCAGCGTACGTCACCTTTTTGTATTTAAACTTTTTTATTTTAAACCTTTTATGGAGTTTACCAAGAACTGCCTCTTAAAATGTAAAAAAGGAAAAACGGAACAAAAAACCTTTTTGTTTTCAGGTTTGGCTGTCATAGGTCAGCTGGACGGGACAATTACTGTTTTTTGTAAATTTAATCTTCAGTCTCTACAGGGAATGTTCAGCACTGCTAGTTAAACTTGCAGTCTTTGAATGGTTCTTATTTTTTACGTTCCTCTAGGTCACATTTTTTACAGGATGGTTTAGGGTAGGAACTCGGTGAAATAATATTTATTTCAGGTGAATGACTAAATTATTTGCATAGCTTAAATGCTGACTCACTGCTGTGTGTGATTCTAAATTTGACATGAGAGGACAATTCTGCCTGTGGACTAAGATGATTTAACTTCAGTACACTTGAGATGCATTAAAATGATTGATTTGGGGAAGACGCCGTATAGTTTTAATTTACTTGCATGCTGTAAATGTATTTGTGTTTAAATAAAGAGAAGGAAAATCTTTGAACTTTCTGCGTTTACTGTATGTGCACTGGTCTGTCAAATGGTCAGGGTGTATTTTAACTTTACAGGTTTCCTGGCCAATTATGTCATCTGTGATCGCATCCCTCACCTTTTGTCTCACTGTTCGCAAGTTTTTCATACGCCCCATCATAAATATTTAATCTTGGGCTTCAAATGATTGTTCATGATTGAAAAATGAAACAAAAAAACAACCCTACAGTTAATGCCTTGTGGAAGAAATTTCTGGGAGCAGAAGGCAGTAAGGACAGACGTGTCCTTGGTTTGGGCTTACTGACAATCAGGGAACCATTGATACTCTTGGATTATATGTGTTCCTCAAAATAAAACCTTGTTTTATTTTGGAAACAAAATAGGAAGGAAAACAAATTGGAGATGTGGGCAAGTGATGTGCATTCTGAGCAAGTGGAAGTGAATTTTTTGAGGGCTTTTAAGGGTGAAGATGCCTCATTTAAAAACAGCCGGATGCAATGCTTCCCCTCAGTATCTTCTCACAGCGTGCACGCTTGGGGGCTGTCTGCAATCTGCTGTGGGCTGTTTCTTTGCTTGTGCTTGGAGGACTTCGATGTGCTTGGAGTGTCTTCCAAATCCATGTAGACTTGTCCTCCTTTCCTTTAGCGGCTCCTGTCAGTGTGCTTCAAGAACTTCTTGTGTTTTCGACTTGGTACCTGGTGGTCGCTCATTCCTGTCTGTGAGAGCACCATCCCCTTCTAATGTTTTGTAGACCTCTTATCTCTCTGCTGGGCGTTTTTTCCTTGAAGACTAATTTTTCTTTTACTGTAATTTGTGACACTTGTTTCTGCTTTTGGTGATTGCTCCTGAACTGATACATTTTATATGGAAGCTCTTTCTCACTTGCAGGGTAATTTTCCCAGAGAAACTTGCAGCTAAATTTGTAGAGCTAATATATCTCAGGTGTATAGAAGCATGCACAAGAGCCCTACATTTAACTCTGCTGATACATCAAAGGTGATCTCAGAAAAGACGCTGCCTGTGAAGCTGCTCGGGGCTGAGCTAATCCTATACTAACGAAGATTTGAGAGTGCCTTCTGTTAAAGGACGGCAGTTCGGTCGCCCTGGCGAGGTGCTTGATCCAGGTGTGCGCTGGGGCCGAGCAACTCGAACCACTTCCGTTGCAGCTGAAGGCTAAGGGATGCCTGCCTCACAGCTTCTGGGGCTGTGAGGGAGCGGAGGGCAGCGAGCTCCCTCCCCGCGGAGGCCGGGCTGAACGCGGAGGTCCGTTAACCAACCGCACGCTCTGCCCTCGGCGTGGACCTCGTTTCTGCTTTCGTCGGAAATCCACACCGCTCTCGAGTGGGACGTGAAGCCTCCGCTTCCCTCAGGGCCCGGCATGAGGCTGGAAGCCGAGGGAGCGGCAGCCAGGGGACGCGCTGTGCCCGGCTGCGGGGCGCCCGCTTGGGAGCGCGGGGCCGAAGCGCCTCGAGAATGAGCGTCGCTCGTTTTGCTTTTGCTTCCCCCTCCCACAGAGGCTGCATTTCTCTCGTCTCCTCCCTGGTCGCAGCCGCCCCGAGGCCTCCGCCGCACGGCGCAGAGAAGTCCTGGAGGAAGTCCTAGAGGCGCGGGGCCGCGTGGAGCCGCCCAAACCCGCGCGGTCCGTGCTTAGCCTGGCTTCTTTACGGCTCGCTCTGCCGCCGTCCTGTGGGCCGAGCTGTTTGTCGCGAAGGAACGCTTCAGGAGCAGCGTTCAGTGCTGTTATTGGAAAACTTCTCTACCTCACGGAGTTGCACAAAACTGAATCTTGACCTTAAAATACTGTGAGAAGTCGCGTGTGGTGTTTCTTAATGTTCTTCTGGGCATCGTATGCTCTTTATTAAAGCAGGTTTCTTGTTGCAGGAAGATACTTGGAAACATCACAGAATCTGGTATCTTTTTGAACTGCAAAACAGCGATACAAGATGCAGAAAGTCAGAGCTCCCCTTGGTGCTGTGAGTCACTGTCAAATGCGCTCACAGGTGCGCCCACAGATGCACTCATAGGTGATGCTCAGAGACATTTCAGTGTTTTTCTCCCATCTCCGCTGATCCACAGACACGTGAGCTGCAGGAGAGAGGCAGGAGGAGTCATTCCTGGTGAGAAATGGATTTCTCCCCCCACACTCATTATTTTAGAGGACTGTCAGTTTCCCTTGGCAGCCTGTACAATAGGCTGTGTAATAAATGCAGATAGCATTAAATTAATGTTTCACTCCCGGGGTGACAAACAGCAGCATCCAGTTCCAGCACAGGGTAAGTCAATGGCAACGTGGCAGCAAATGAGCCATTCTGTTGTGGGCTCATCAGAGATGCAGAGCACATGACTTGCACTAAAATGATCCACGTAGCTCCGGTTGAGTTTATTAACCTGGAGACACACTGGTGAAAATGAGCTGGGAAGCAGGAGATGAGAGAACGTGCATAACAAATGGGCTTAGCACATGAAAATAGGCATACATTTTAATAAAATACTGCCTTCTAGTTTTCACCCAACTGTAACCAGAAGCTTTGCAGAAGCTGTCAGGAGAGAACTGTATCCCCCTGAGTGCAGAGAAGGAGTGTATGTGCAGGTGAACAAAAGGGCATTTAGTCAGTGGAGCTGGCAGAGTTCAGGCCTTTGTAGCTGCTAGTGGAGCAGTGACCCACAGCTTGGCTGTGTTGGATTCTTTGGTCAGACAGATCCCTGCCTCGGCTCCCTCAGCAGCATGGGACAAGGCAGGGCTGTGCAGAGCCAGAGGAGTTTGGGAACTGTTGGGAAAAAGAGTTTGTGTAAGGTCAGCACGCAGAGGCACTTGGGGGTGGTTGAAGACAGGAGAGTGCCCTGAGCCCTTCAGACCCCGTCAGGCTGTTGCAAGGCAGGCCTGGCTCTGAGGTTCCCCCTCCTCTTTCTCTTGGCTACATTTCTCCCCTTCTGTTGGACACACAGATCAACTGTGGCTGGCGATGAGGTCTCATCAGACCCAGCAGTAACACAACGTTTCTTTAGGCTTTATGATAGATAGCTACTCTGGAGGGAACAAGATACCAAGATCTTGAGACTACTTGCGAGTAAGGAGACACTTGCAGGGCAGGGAATTCAGCCTTCACGATCTCACCTTGCCTCAGGGTTCTGTTCTGCAGGTCAGCAGGGTGTTGGGAAAGTGGGGACAGTCTGGGTTCCCTTTCTGCTCAGCTGTGTGCCGTGCGGTTCTGAGAAGCTGCTCCCCAGCGCTTGCGCCCACGGAGAGCCACACTTCTGCTTCTGCTGGGGATAAAGGCTTGTGGGCACTAGCTGCTCTTTGTTTCTCATCTGATTAGATCAAAAGCATCTCATTTCTGTCCCTTGGAATGATTCTGAAGATTCTCATCGTACTTCTTAAATTTTCCCTTTTTAAAATATTATTATTAATGAAAGCTCTTGGAGCCACATCTGGAATGTTTTATTGATCATAAACTCATGGCTCGGAGCCAATCTTGGTAGCTATAGAAACAGAATTTTTTCTGATGTTGCCATAACTGCACATGGAGTAAGGAGGAGCAGGCCACTTAAATTGCTGAGCAGCTAATAAGTCCTCTTTCTGTAACTGGTTTAGAGTTTTCTAATTTTATGCACTGAATAATAGATAGGGACAAAATCACCCGTGCTGTGGGAGAGGGTAACGTAAGTGTACGATGCAATGTCTCATGAGTCCTTTCTGCTGAGCGTGGTGCTCCCTTCCTCTGCTGGGCCGCAAACATATGGCAGGATGAGCACATGGACCCTGTGTGTTGGGCAGAGCTGCTGCTGGGGGGGGCTGCTGCTGGAGCAGTTCCTGAAGGGTGGGCCTGGTGTATGGAGCTGTGCTGGAGATGTGCTTGGAGAGTTGCAGCCTGTGGGAATCCCATGCAGGGTGGGTTTTGGAAGAATGGTGACCATGAGAGGGGCCCCACATAGGGCAGAGTGACCATGGAGGAGTGACAGAGATGAAGAGTTATGGAGTAACTGCAGCCCCTCTTCCCCTGGACCGCCTGGGGGGAGGAGGTGGCAGAGGGTGGGGGGAAGTTGGCTTTAGTCTGCTTTAGTTCTCAGTGCTCTGTTCCGTTAGCAACAGGCAATAAATTACTTTATTCTCCTTTGTGCTGAGTCTGTTTTGCCTATGACAGTAATTGATGAGTGATCTTGTCCTTACCTCAACCTGTGAGTTTTTTCACCACATTTTCTTCCCCCATTGTTTTTGGAGGGGGGGGGAACAGGAGAGGTGTGATGGAGCCCTTAGGAAGTGTTGCAGACCATGGACGAAGAAAATTGGTAGTATTGTATCATAGAATCAGGGCAGGCTCCTGCTGAGCTTATTGACTGCCCCCACAAAGGGCCTATATTGTTGTTAGTGAAATCAAGCTGGCAGCTGAAACACAAATCACGCAGGGGGCACTGCTGCTCTAAATACACCCAATCATGAGCTATTTGGCCACCATTTCCATATACAGAATTATAGAATCATCACGGTTGGAGAAGACTTCTAAGTCCAACCATCAACCCATTCCCACCACTCCCACATCCCTCAGTGCCACATCCACACGGTTCTTAAACACCTCCAGGGATGGTGACTCCACCATCTCCCTGAGCAGCCTGTACCAGTGCTTCATCAGTCTTCTTAAAAATATTTTTTGCTCATGTAATCCTCAGAGCCCCACTGACTGCTACATGGCTTTCCCTGCAGGTGTCTGTTCCAACCAAGAAGGCCCATCGCAGACACAACACCCCAAGAACCATTTTTTATTATTATTACATTGAGTCTCCTTCCACCCTAGTGGAGTATTGTGGGCAGGCATAAGTGTTGGGGAGAAGGTGGCTTGGCCTGCAGTGCTTTCCCACGTGGATGGGAAACGTGCTCAGGTGTGTGGGTCCCCACGAGGACTTTAAGTGAGAACAAGGTGAGGAATGTTCCTGGCAAAGGGCAGGGGGTGGGAGATGCTCTGCTCCCAGTTCAGTGGCAAGGGAAACTCAAAGAGACCTTCTATAGAGAAGTAGTGT